TAAAAAAAAAAATACAAAACCCCCGAAGGAAATAATATCTTTTGTTCGCACGTTTTCGAGATAGTGGCAAGACGACCGCGCGTCCGGTCCAGTCAGAAGACTGCGGTCTGGAAGTGGAAAAGCCAGCAGCAGGAGCGTTGCGCTTGGCCCACCGTCGTCTGGTCGAGCTTTCTACCAGTCGAGGATAAGATTGAGGAGGGGAACTCGGACTTGCATTGGCGTCCTCCTACTCCTTCTCGATTTGACGTTCCACTCTTCTTTGCTGTTACTACGTTCAATGGCGTAGAATCTTATTGCCTTTCTGATGGTTTTACGGGTTCTGTTGGAAAGGCTAACTCCTTTTTCTTCGATTCCTCTCGTATGAAACTCGAATACACCTGCGTCATCACAAGACAAAGTTAAGTTAATGAATCGTTAGATCGAACAATCATTACAAGTTTTCATTAAGGACAAGATTCTATGATATTGATAAATAGATTTTAGATTCAATAGATATAGATCCGTCTAGGGGAGGGGGAGCGAGGTAAGGGCGGATGTATAATTTTCTAATCGGATGGATTGGAATACGATAAACGAGAGAAGCTCGAGTTTAACCGCAGAAATAAGAAGAAAGGATTTGAAGTCGATGAAACCGCAGGGACCAGGCTTCCCCGAATCATAAATAATATCTTATAATGTTCGTTATAATCGTCGTATCCCTCGAATATCTATCGAAACAAAGTGAAAGTGGAACGCGTGCTCTCTCGACAAAAGGACGTGCTAGAGCTCGACTCGCAAACGCGACATATGCGGCGAGGGCCAACTCGCCGTTATTTTCATACGATCGATAGCCATTTTGATGATGGTCTACTTCGTTTAAATCGATCGATTAAAAAATTTCGATTAAGTTTAGATAATTACTTGCCACTTCCTCGCCATAGTTCCTTTTCTTTTCATTTCTTTGTTTTGTTTGTTTTTTCCTTTTTTTTTTTTTTCTTTTACACATCGAACACATAAATTTTTTTTTTCATTGGAGTCTCCCTTCCGAGAGAATCGGAAGGTCGACTTCTTCGAGTTCAATGCCTCTTAGGCTCCTTTAAGGACAATCGATCCTTCTTTATCTTTCTTTATTTACTCGAAGATAAAGTCCTTAGGAGTATCTTACGAGAATGGATTTTTTATTTGAGAAATTGAGACCTCGTCGTCGTAGAAATTTATTTCTAGACTACTTTTTTTTTTTTCTTTCTTTTTCTTTTCTTATTTAATATCACCAAGTTTCTATGCGCTTTCCGTCACGCCCATTGATCTTTCAAAAAGGGATCGTCGAGAATTCCGAACAGCTCTGGATAAACTCGCTCGTGATATTTGCAAATGCGACGAGTAAGGTGAAGACAGAGAGAGAGAGAGAGAGAGAGAAAGAGAGAGAGAGATATTCT